AAGGGACTGTTACAACCGTCTGTAAAACTGCAAAGGGATATTATTCCAACCGTAACAGCAGGGAACAGAGTAAGCAATAACATGCCCAAGGTCAGGCCTGTAGTTTGTCACACAGCAGGGATCTGAATCCAGATTTGGTGAATCCCAGTACTACCACTGACAAGTTTCCAGCAAATGCAGCATTCAACTTCCCAAAGGGAGCAACGTGGGATTACAGCTTATTTGCTTCTGACCTAGCAATAGCAGGATAGAGAAGGGCGTGGAAGTCACACCTGCTTTTGGGCACAGCTGGAATTACTCAGGCCTTGCTTGTGGGTGGGAACTGCTGCAAACAGGTTCCCCATTCCTTGTCATCCCTACCCACTCTGTCCCCACAGTGAAATCCATAGGCATGTGGATTTATTTCCTCAGACACGAGAGAAAGAAATCTAAAGCAGTTTGCTCAAGCACAAATTCCTTGAAAAACAGCTGATTTCACAAAAACTCCAATGCATCTGCACACACCAGATTCTCTGAAGGCCTGATCCCAGGATCCAGCCAAGAAGAAAAACCATCATGATATTCAGTTGAGCACAAAACACGTAGGTTAGCATGATCACACGTCTTACTACTAGCATGTTCCCTGGCCTGCTCCATTCCTTCTACCTAAGTGCTAACACAACCCTTATGTATCCTCTCTGGAGGGGATCAAAAACCCAAAGTAATATGAGCAGGCAATTTAGCAAAGAATTTTTACTTTTATTCTACCCTCGAAAGGCTGTTCTGCCAGACCCACTGTGGCAGTGACAGGTCAGACCAAAGAGTCCAGGGGCAGAGAGATGATATAGGTCAGCATCCTGCAAGACACCACCTTCTTGCTTGCAGGCACTTACAAGACTTCTCCAGGCTAGAGAGCAAATCTTGGGAACAGTTCAGATGCAGATTCTGAACCCTGGGCATGTCAGCCTAAGCACATCTGGTACAACCAAAGAGGTGACTGCAAGGCAGGAGGAAGCTGGGTACAAGTCTGATTCTGCAACTAGGACACATTTTAGAACATCCTCAAGGCTACAGTAACTTCTGAGACCTGTCCCAATCGCAACAGCTGAATGCAGAGCATGCTTTGGCCATGATCCCAGGGCTGCAGGACAGTAGCATGTAAACAGCCTCCTGTGTTCACTGGGGACTGGATGGACCATGCTGAGATTTGCAAGCAGCTGCCCAGCAAAAGAAACAGGGGAGGACTGTGACATGACCCTCCACAGGGAGGAACATCTGAAACTTCTGACATTTGAAACATCTACTGAAAAGGAAATAGGCTGGAAACTGGCTAAAGTCTCTCTTGGTATCTCACCATCTCCTTGACTGTGAGAGAGAAGCCTTCTCTCACTGGGTATTTGTCCTTCTGGATGCAACCTGGAGTAGAAATAATAGTTTATTAAAATTTAAATACAGCTTTTGAAAACTTGCCCAGACAAACAAAATGTTAATGCAAGTTTTGGCTTGGTCTTCACTGCTTGGGAAATGACTCCTCCCCTGTAATAAGCTGAGCTGTAGCAGTTCTGTTATTCCAATCACCATAGCCACAAGTATCACCTGCAACACATCTGAAGCACGCTACCCTTCAGCACACCTGCTATCCCCTTACATCTCACACCCAGGGAGGGAAGGATGTGCAAGCAGCCCACAGAAACAACACAATGTTGATGTTCTTTCTCTGAGGAATGAAGACTCTGAGGAAACATGGGAGCAGATCACCACATGGAAGCTGCTCTAAGGAGGGAGTCAGCTGTTCTCCACCTCAGGATAAGAGAAGTAGTACTCAGCTTTAATGGCAGCAAGGAAGACTACATACAAAGGATAACTTTCTAGCAGATAGAACAACAAAGCACCAGAACAGATTGCACGCAAAGATCCTTATCAGCTTTGGAAGCCTTTTAGATGAGGCTGGGCAAACATTTGTCAGGAATGATGTAAGCCAAGCTGATTCTTACTTGGACAGGGAAATTGGGCTAGATGATTGTAAATCTCTCTTCCAACCCATTCTGATCTATGGCCCTGCATCAAGGAATTGAGTGCTGGTCAGTAATCTACACATATTTAGTCACCTGGGTCCCCAGAAATCTCCTGTGTCACCCTAGTGGAGTCACTCTCTGTCTGTCACTGCCTCACCTGGAAAGAAGTCTTGTCCCTACAAGACCACAGGCTCAGCTGAGAGTGCTGTGAGGATAATCACATTTCTGTGACTCTCTAAGGTCCCCAAGAAAGTCCCTTTCACCCCACATCTTGGGTGGGAGACTGGTAACACCATTGTTACATGCACTTCAGGGCACTTACACGGAAATTACACCAGACTAAGAATGGTGCTCCATCTCTGTCCTCCAGCATAGTAGACATTGTCCAAAACTATGGATTAATGCAGTGCTATGGAGCTTCAGGCCTTCTACTAACAGCATGAGGTACAAGCCCTGTCCTGTATCACAAGCTGTGTGGTACCCTTCCAGCTTCCTACACGAGCCCCACGCCAAAGCTCCGTTTCCTGGCACAGGAATAGAGGTTTAAAGCCCCGCTTTGGAGCTGCACCTACAGTGAAGCTCTGTGTTGAATTCTCCCGGTGGGGGCCTGCACCTTGCCCTGCTCCCCACAGAGCCGGGAGCGTGCGGCAGGACGGCTCTCCAGCACAGACATAGCTAAACTGGGACCACAGCACCATCTGCAGGGCTCTGCCAAAGACCGAGCTCTTACCAACTCCTCCTCAGGGAAGGCCAGCGTTACTCCAGTAGATACTTCACACCTGGTAACTCTCCAAAAACCAGACCTGAGCGCACACACAACCACACTCTTTAGGGTTCTGAAGCAACAAAGCCCCTCTCTTCACTTCAGGAAACAAATCACTGTTTTGACACACTTCCAAAGACCCAAGTAAATTCCCAGAAAATTAAATGTATGTCAGCTACTGGATTATGTAAAATGCCAACTGAAGCGTCAGCCTTCCATGGCTTCAGGGAGTAGCTATGCCTCTGCAGAGAGCTCACGTGCACAGCATATTGCTGGCGTCAGCCGAGCCTCCTGCTCACAGGCAACACAGACATAGTTCAGTGCTTTAGCAAGGGCACTGACAGTGCCTGTGGCTCCTTAAGACCATCATCTTCCAAAAAGCTTTGCAATACTTCCATACCAAAATGAGCGTGGGCCAATATGCATAAAGCACTGAAGAACACATTGTACTACACTAGCACATTCCCTCAGATGTGAGTCTGACAAATCAATCCAGCCTCTTGGGAGGAAGAACAATTTTTCTCTATTCTTGTCTTTATGAGAAGGTCAGCAGCATCATGTGATTTTCTGAGACATATAACCACTAAGCAATGCAAATCCACAGAAATGCAAGCATTTTTATTATTGCTTTAGCTATAAATATAGGAATTTAACACTCATCCTACTGGATTAGACCAAGAGTCTGTCTTGCTGAGAAAATGTCCTGCTCAGACAAGTGACTGATTGACACTTCTAAGAAAAGGCACACTGCTTTCTGCAGCCCAGCCACCGGTGTTCTCAGAGGGACATCTAACTCCAGCCTGCCACAGGGAATCAGCCTACCCCTTGAGGAATGCAATACGATGCCGTTTAACACTCTCACAAACCAGTAAACTATCCAGCTTTTAAAGTACCCCGCAGAAGTAAACTGTGCATGTTGCTCTGTTTCATACATAAACACTGCTAACATCCAGATGAAATCTGTGAACTCATTTCTTTAAATTTAATTTTTAAACAAAGTCTGACAAACTGAACTTAAAAAGAGACCCTAAACTACTATTAAAAAAAACATAAACAAATGTCTTTGACTACAATTTGTACTTGTGGCTCTAGCAGGCAAAACTGCTATGCTGGAACTTTATTTCCAAACCTAGGATCAAGTGCACTTTAACTGAACTTTTTTAGTTCTCTCCTTCCCTAGATTCCCTCTACCCACCATGGCAGGTACTGCAGTCCAGGAAGGCTCATAACTTCATGTAAAGAGCATATGGGATGTGGCAAACTACTGGGGTGTGTGGAGTGGTGGGAAGGATAAATGCAGTGTGAGTGGTACAGTGGTGTGAAAGGTTCATCTGTGAACAAAGGTCTAAAAGCCCAGAGGGTAGGGAAAGGATCCAACTGGAGACCTGAGCATTGGTACATCGAGAGCTCAGATATCTCTGGAAAAGCAGGATTCATGTTCAAGAGTTAAAGAGCGAACGAAAAAGTGGGAGTGTGAGTGTAGGAGAGGTAGAAGGGAAAGGGACTAGATGTGTTAGTGCTCATGTAATGCCCTCTGAATCTGCTGCAGCCTTCCAAATAGACGCCGTTTGCTGATGCATCTCCTACCTAATGCTTCTGGTTATGCACTCCCAGTTCAGCCCGGACAGGGAGCCTGACAGCACCTCCCTGGCACTCACAGACTGCAAAAGTCACTGTCTCCACCCCTATGGAGTGCTCACCTCCACTGGCCCAGCAACTCCTTCATTCAGACTGGTAGACAGGATCCTTTCATTTGCTCTCTTTTCTTTGTTCCCTGGCTAGCTATGGTCAGGAAGGAAATTTGGGACACTGGAAACTGCAGCAACAATAAGCAGCAGCTTGAATTTAATCCTGCTGTTATTTATAAAGTCATGATGTTGACTGTCCATTCCAGGGACTTCTCTCAGTGTTGTCTGAGGCAGCCCTACTCTGAGTCATCCTTCCCAAAGAAACAGACCTCAGCTATTCCCACTGCTGTCAAGAGACTGGGTCCTACTCCAAGCTTAGCTGCTTGTCAAATTGCGTACAAGTCATTTCACCTCCCATTATTTAACTTCTCCATCTGCAAAACTGGAGTAGCAATTCTGGCCTTCTTGGTAAAGTCCTGCATTTAAATGCCTTACATCAAAGTTAGGCGTTATTATTACTCTCAGAAGCAATGTCCGGGTGCCAGGTGTTTATTCAGGTCTGCTAGCATATTTGAAAATGTAATTGCACAGCAGTTCTTGCCAAGGACACAGATCTGAAGCACGATCTTTATTACAATGTTTCAGTTGTTTCTGGCAGCATCCACCAAGTGTCAGGTGCTGGAGATGGAGATAGTGTAACATGTGCACTGATCCTTCAATAACAGGTCCCTCAGCAGAACTGGGAAACAAAGTTTGTTTTGCTGTTGGAGATTACTCCAGAGCATCAGAAACCTGGAACAGAACTGAATTTGAAATGTGCAAGCTAGTCCCATTATACCTGCAAGTCCATATGCCAATGTAAGCGAGGGTTTGGACCTATCATCCAATCTGTTCATATTCAATATAAATTTATCTCAAGGCCAAAATAAAAAGTCATTTTTTTTCTAGGTCAAATGGTTGATCTGACAGTCATATTTTTATTTAAATATCTGGAGCTGTGAACTCTTCCATATTGGGTCCTGAGATTAACGAGTCACTTCAGCAGAGCAAACTAAAAAATTGCATGCAGTTCCTCGAGGAAGGTGAAATACTTCTACATGCTCTGCTGAACTTCTGCATCTCTGGATGAAGTCTATATCAGAAAACGAGGGGGGCTGCCACTGCAGGGAGACTTCAGTGCATTGGGGAACAAACTGGAGATTCCTTTTGCCACGCAGAGTTTTCAACAAGCTGTTCATCAGGGCTCACCAGTGAAAAGCATACTGCAAGAAGAGTGATTTCTGGTATAGTTGTCATCTGCTTTGTTTCTGGATGTGCAGAAACCTAGGCCTGTGGGAAAAAGCATGACCAGAGCTTTAAGTCTTGCTAGGGAGAACATGCTTCTCTCCATCCTACAAAAGCTGCAATTTTCCAATGGCAACAGTCTCACCAGAGCTAGTAGCCCATCAGAAATGCTTACCTGCATCAAGATTTCTGACTCAAAAACATTGCCAGGCTATCTCAGGAGATGAGAAGATTGAGATACTTGAAGGGAGTCCCTATTTTAGTAAAGATTGGCTTCAGCTATGGACTTTCTCTGGCTGAGTTCACTCAATACATCAGGGTGCTAGGTGAAATGCTGGGGTTTCAACCCCAAGCCCCAAGTTAAGGTTGACATGTGGGTGATTCCCACAGCCCTTCCCAAAGGGGGGTGAGTTTACCTTTAGGCTTCCCTCCAGGGTGCAGCCGGCCTGGCAGACAGAGCCATTGGGTAAAGGAGCCCCAGGGGTCCCGCAGTCAGTAACAAAGGTCAGGTGTCCCACTGAGGGATAAAGCTGGGACCATTGCAGGAGGGGCAGTGTCTGTCTGTGAGGTGGGTGCCCTGTGCAGAGTTCCCTGTTGGGGAAGGACCTCCCGCCTCCCTGGGACTGGGCTCCAGTCAGGTCTGGCCTTTGTAAACATGGGCTGTGTAGAGATTCAGTATGTGGCTTCCTTGGTCTTATGTGTTTGGCTTGTTGACTCGGTTGTCTCCCATCCCTTCTATGGGAAACTGCATTTCACCATTTATTCCACCCGTTGCTGGTTGTGCGGTGTTGCTGTTGGGGTCAGTGGGATTGATGTCAATTATGTATAGTCTGACTTGTTTGTACCCCCAGCACTCACCCATGTACTGACTCTTTTGTATCAAATACAATTTGGTTATTGTTTCATCTTTATGCTGGCTGTGTCCTTTATGCTAGGCCTAATAATTGGCAAAACACTAGGATATAATCTACAAAGGTGACAGAGCTATACCAGAAGAAAAAATAGGAGGTGAAAAAAAAGACTTACTTGCCACAGAAGTCCTTGTGAATGGCACGGAGAACAAGTAGTAAGTTGGGGTGTGCCTGTAGCCACTTCTCCACCATATCTGGGTGTCTGGGATCAACTTCCAGAAACACACTCCTGAAAGGATATATTTGGGAGTAGGAAGTGGGGAGAGGCACATATTTAGGTTGCTAAACATAAAAATTAAGGTCTGTCTTTCTGGATGATTCCTACTAGTGCAGGAAATGAGAAGGTCTGCAAGCACACTGCAGTCCAGTAGTCCTAAAACAGATCATAGCTGTCCATTTAAGATGCACATCTCAACTGCCTCCTTCAGAGGGAGAAAGTGTTGATCTTGGCAGGAATTCTTATGGTACTTCTCTGTGCAGTTAAACCCTTGTATAGATGCAAGGATCCCTTTTGAACCCCATGCAGAGATGCTGTCAGCTATGTCTTTCTGAAGCCCCCAAAGATTTAAGGCCAGAATGAAGTTTTATGACACAAGTGCATGAACACAGAGCACTGGACTGGCAGCATTAAGTTCCTCTTTGTGTAAGCAGTGTGACATTAAGTCCCAGTAGCCAGAGTCGAAGTACAAGTCAGTATACACAGTTTCCCACAGTAAATGTCTCCATAAATCAGTTTGAAAACACCACCAGCATTCAGACCATACAGTCCTAAATACAGGACTGTATGAAGGAGAGTGCAGCAGGGATAAGGGAACTAATCAGAGAACCTCAGTTAGCACACCAGGACTAGGCCTGGATGCTGCAGGGATATTTCCATCTCTGCTGCAGCCAGGCTTTATGTCACTGGCCTATTTCTGAGCTTCCACTCCCACGACAAGGCACAATCACCCCAGTGCACGTGGAGACAATGGAACTGGTTACAGCCTGTGACAGCTCACCAAGATACAAGTTTAACAGGCAAAGAATAGAGAGAGGCCAAGCTCTGATCATATGCTCTCCTGAGAATTCCTAAAACATCCCACACTGAATACTCCCTACAAATTCACCAAACTAACTACAAGCTGGGTGTGGATCTCATTCCTGACCTTAAAAAACTTCCACTCCTCAATTGGGGCTCCACCTTATAAAAAAACCCAGAAAGGGAAAGAAAAAATCCTAACAAACAACCCCACAGGACCAATCTCTGTTGCTGGGAAGTTCTGAGGAGCATCTTCTGCTCTTGTGGTCATGCAAAGCAAGAGGAATGAATTCTTCTGCATGCAGTATGCTTCTCAATATTCCTGTTCCTCTTCTCAAAACATCAGATTTTCAATGACCTCTCTAAGATGTCAGGAATTTTCAACAGGATGTGACTGCCCTGGCACAACAGACTTTTGCATATCAGCATGTGGATCTTCAAGCACAAAATAGGTCCCACATGACTGAGAATAGGAACAATCAGTTGAGTATTAACCATGGAGAAATTTAATATTTAAGAAACTATCCCTGGCTGATCTTCTTTCTCCTGGGATATTCAGCATTTTATCCTAGCACAATGAACAAGTTTCCCCTTATTAAAGGGTGGGAGGGAAGTAAAGATCTACATCCCTTCTCACAGAGTTCTATATTGCTTCTCCTTCAATCAGTTATTCTGCTTAGAAAGCGCTTCCC